GTAAAGAGGTCAAAGAGCTAACTGGTTGATCACATTTCTTGATGATTTCGAGTTTGAGCCTTTGTGTCACCATTTGCCAGCACTTCTCAGCAGATACATTTGAGAAATTCTCAGTGGGGTTATCTTCTACTGAGACCTGGAAATAATACTGATGGATCAGTAACTTACCACCTTCATTTTTTATGAATGACAAATAGATTTCAGTTATATTCTCGAAACCACTACATAGTTAGTGTACCCTGAATAGTGGACCAAGAAGCCCTGCATCCAGAACCTCTGAGATGTAGTTGGTTAGTTTTGTTGGGTCAAGCACGCTTAAAAACTTAACACGGCTCTTGAACCCTGTGACATTCAATCAAAAGCAAAAGTCTCAGAAGGAATAAAAAAATACTAAAGTACAAAGCTCATCCAAAATCCTCAATTCATCTCACCTTTTGGGTATATGGCTTGTTTACTGCACCACAGCTTTTTAACAACGAGAGATCCAGAGTTCAAAAGCTCAACAGAGAGACTTAACCTATTGGTTGAAGCGTCTTGGTCCTTCCCCTCTACTTTCTTCGCCAGCTCGCTACACCCTACATCTGAAACTGAATGTGGGTTTTGAGATTCAACCGAAATCTTCTTCTCATCAAACTTAACTCCCTCACCAAGTTTTACATCCGTGACAGCTGACTTATCAGTGATGCCATGTACATGATTTCTTTCGCTTTCATGACCATGGTGATTTACATCTTGATCACCATCTTGTTTCAACTGAACTTCCTTGTTTGTGGTTAGATCACTTTGTAAGCGTTCAGACACTAACTGAAGATTGTTTTGTTCTCGCTGCTGTACTTTTGATGAACTACGGCTCTTTAAACATGAGGTAGTCTTGAGGTAAGAATATTCTCTTGCTCTCGGATGCTGTGAAGGATACTGATCACGACATTTACTTGCCCATAGGTCTATGGCATCAAGATCCCCTTCTAGAGCTCTGACCAGTGCCCATAACTCATCCAAGGTGTGGCGAATTAGGATAAATCTCTCCTTACTTTCACATGAACACAGATCCTTAGCGTGGGTAAGACATGCAAACCGGTTGGGGGAACACTTGCAGCTTGAAGCAGACATATGCAAATCATAGAAGCACAAGAAGCACTCCCGTTCTCTCTTAATGTCAAAATCACCCTCCATCTTTCGCAAGCTAAAACCATCTTGAAGGAGGTGTAGTCTTTCTTCTTCCATCTGCACCCGCTTCTGCTAACGTCAGCTATGTTAGTCTCATTGAAGATGTTTGTTTCAATCTTATCAAAAATCAGGTAGTCTAGTACACTATTACTTCAGATGATAATTGTCAATCTATGAAATGTAACATATTGCCTATGCTTGTTTGATTGTGTATTTGTACATGCATGCATATGTAAGCACATGAAAAAGAACAGAACAGAGAATCAGAATTACCTTGACTGCCTTCGTAAGCAATCCATCCTCACTACAAACCCTTTTCCATCTCGCAATCACAGGATTCTTCTTCTTTGAAAGTGAAAGCTCCCAGAGGCAATAAGTAGCTTCCATAGCTGCTCCAAGAAGCAGCTTGTCATGTGACAATGAAGTCTTTCGCCGCTGCTTGCTATAGCCTTCCACTGCATTCTGTCCATGAACCAGCCAATCAACTGGTGCAACATTTACTGCTTCCGCACAGTTGAAACCACAATTAAACCCAGAATGATAGGCCTTAGGGAAGGTTAGAATGAATTCTCCACTACGCTGGACAGCTCGATAGACGGGTACTCCCTCCTCTTTTAAGATTCTTGGAGATAACTGAGTGACCTGATCAAAAAGAGGAGGTGCAGGATGAGATACATATTATCTTAACCAAAAAACAACTCTCGCATATCATCTCCAAAATTACACAGGAGTTCCAATTATCAGCAGAGCTTGAAACGAAAAATGAATTGGGTGAAGCTTTTTACCAGTTGATGTAGCAAGTCAGGCTGTTCTTCAAACAAATCTGGAAGACGCTTTTTCATTACATCTTCAAAAGACGCGGCATGGTTTCCAGGGATCCCATACCAAACTTTTGGATCACCCGTGTGTAAGTAGTTCAAGGAATAAAGGTGATGATCTTCAACATGCTGTTTCAAACAAAGTAAGGGGCATACTGGAGATGTTAGTACATAGCTCCTAGAAAGAACACATAAATGCATCAATTCCATAATTTTGGTCCCAAAGGTATGACATCCTTTAAGTAATATAATGTTGATTAAATAACAGGTTTTAAGAGAACTCCATTATCTTTTTTTTTTAAAGCAACAAAAAATTCAAGGAAATATCAAAAGGTTATTCATAAGATTCAGTAATTCGAAAGATTCTACCCTAAGAAAATGTAACTTACCCAACAAAAAGTTGAAAAGCACATTCCAACATAAAGCCATGGCACAATGACTCCTGAGATATCGCAGCTCTCAAAAGCTAGAACTGATCCAGGCAGACGGGACAAATTATTTAGGTTCCAACCACATTCAGAGTATTGATCTGCTTCACTTTTAGGATACCCCGGTGTATACTTTGGGAAACCACTTCCAAATTTCTTTGTTTCCAAGTCAGCTCCATAGTACACCTGTCATAGGCCCAAAAACGAGTAGCAAGTTAGAAGAATTTATGCAAAAGAAAATGGTGAAACCAAGAAAAACAGAAATAGTACACATGTTATCATATTGCTGCCTGTACATACCTCTACTTCATCAGTTGCTTGCTCCACTATCCGCCAATATTCACCTTCGATGTCTTTAACCTTAGGTTTAAATTTCTTATTTTCAGACGCTCTGGAGCCAGGATGATCCTCAGCCTGAAAATAGCATTCCTTAAAGTATTCATCATACTTCTGAAATTCTTCCAGGGTAAAATCTGGCCCAGTCTGAAAACCAAATTTTCCTTCACTATCACTAGAGGAAGCAGTATCACAGCCTGAATCTCTTCTTCTTCTTGTGTATCCAATTTTAGAGATTCTTCTCCGTTTTCTCTTCTTAGTTTTGGTAGATTTTTTAATGGGTTCTCTGTTTTGAAGCAAGTCAATCAGCTGAATCCGGGTGGGAAATTTAGAATTCTCCCATATTTTTTTCTCCTTCAGAGGGCAGGGGGGCCTCCATGCAACAGGCGGCACAATTCGACATATGCCATATGATTCTGCTTTACTTCGCAACTTGTCTATGTAACCAAGTGGATCATCAAAATCCTGACCACGAAGCATCAAAAGGATCAAAATTTCAAAAAAGATAACACTTAAACTACCAAGACAGAACCAAAACTGCAGCTAGAATTTATTAAATACCTCATTAGTGGGATAAAATATGGGAGCATCATCAACTGACGGCCTGCAAGCTTCTGATGGATTCCACCTAGCAGTTATCTTCAAATACGCAACAAAACGATATCATTCAGTAATCAAATTCATCTGTTCTTTGACAATCAGATAGGTAACACAACAAACAACAAGAAACTAATAAGAACATTATTTATCCATGGGTTTTCCAGATGAGATTGCTAAATTCTTAGGAACCAAGTAATTAGATTGCTAAATCCAAAACAAAGACAAGAAAAACCACTCTCAGAAAGATGAGATCTTTGAAGGAAGAACTGATAAGCAAGAGCCAAGAAACATTGATTAAGACTAGAATTCATTGGATTCAGACTCAAACGGGTTTAGCAAATACATAAGCCATCATCTTTACCCAACCAATACTTGCAAGAAACCCAATTAACAAGAGACAGATTACTACTCAAGTACTCGTATAAGCTTACTTTAGGACTAGAAGGACTAGAGTCAGGTTCAAGACTACTCTCTCTTTTAATCGATTGTTTCTCAGAATCTTCCTGTAACAAATACACAATTCCACATTCAGAAACTGCAACAGTGCTACAAAAAGAGTGAATTGAATCTAGCAAACATGCAAATTAGAGGTTACAAAAACAAAAACACAATCAAAGAAGGCAAAGGATAAAGAAGAGAAACCTCCATAGCCACAGACTCTGCTAGAGATGCAAGCTGGTCCATTTACAGTGAGATTAGGTTCACAAAGATCGATACTTTAAACCCGCGACCTAAGAAAGAACAAAGATCTGTTAACAAAAAAGAAAACTCTTACTTGAAATGCAGTGCCGGTTTCGAAACCCTAAAAAAAAAAACCCAGAACGCATAAAGATTGTGTCTGAAAGAGAAAGAAAACAACATGTAAGTAGAAAAATCTACGCCATTTAATAGAGAGTAAGATGATAAGTGTACCTTCGTGAAGGGGCCAAGATTCGGAACAAAGTTTTTCTCAAGATTGAATTTGACTCACCAAATTTTTTTGTAACGTATATAAATCTAAAACATTTTGGTTAAATATCTGCGAAAGAGGTTTTTTTTTTGTTTCTTTCCTTCTTTGAGTTAAAAAAAAAAAAAAACCTTAGAGAAGAATTTATTAGGGTAACGATTAAAGCAAGTAGATTTCTTGGAGTCCGATCTAAGAAAAGGGTTTAGAACATAAAAAGAAGCCGCCAAATGGGATCTTTTTTTTTTTTTTTTGTAATAAACAAATCTTCAATCCATTTATACCATCAAAAAATAATATACATTTTGTGAATTTTCATAGTAATTAAAAATTTAGAATTAATCTTAAATTCAGTTAGTTTTGTTCATTTTTATCTCGAACTCTATTAAAGAGTCACTACTATTTACTTCATTTTTACTAACCAAAAGAAAAAGCATTTCAATAGTTATGAATTTATGTTATGATTCACATTTATTAGAGACATCTTTTAACACAAAATAAAGTTGTATGGGAAGTATATAATTCGATAGAACCAATAATGATTTGTTTTCTAGTCGGTTGATATGACTCATTTTATTGTAACAATTGATTAGAATTATATATTTTCATAAATGGAAGTAGTAATTGAGAAATAAAAGGTGGTATAAATTATCTTGAGTTGATCTTATTCAATCATCTATTGTAGATTTTTCTCATTGTTCTATATACTTTGTGAAAAATGTCATTTTATAAATATAAAAAGAAAAGAGAGAAATTAAAACTCGTATACAAATGTGAAAGTGATAGAACAGGGGAGTGCATTAGACAATCTGATAGTGACTTGAGAGACAACACACAAAGTAAGCCACAACATCTTTGATATAGATACAAACACATTGCTGAATTTTGGCCGCGATGTTTTAGACGACGGCGGTTGTGGTGGCGGTGGTGGATAAGTGTTTAGAATTGATTAAGAGGCGGGAAATGGAGACGGAGGAGACAAGGAGCATTAGAATGACTCCGGCGAATGCGGCGATGAGTGCTCCAGCGCCGTGATCACAGTAAGTGGCAAACCTGTCGCAGACTTTGTTCCACTTGGCGTGCTTGTTTCCATTCTTCCCCAACTCCGCCACGAATACCGCCGCGTTTGCAGCCGCAGATACTAGAGTTGCGTTTAGCTTTTTTTCCAAACGTTTTTTCAGATATTCAAGAAACAAATCAACACATTTATTGAAGTTTTTAATCCGGAATAAAACCGAACTAATTCAATCCAAATCAAACCAAGAAAAGTGATTTACAAACCAAAATGTGTGCACATAATGGTAAGTATATATGTTTATACCATATCGAGAATGGCGATAGAGAGGAGACGGACACCTTTGTACTCCAGTTTCCGGCTAAAAATCTGAAGAACAATCATCAACAAGTTGTGGAAGCTCACCATTACATTAGCTATAACAAAGAACCTGTAATACATTTTTTCACCAAGAATCAGTGTTAAATTCATAGGTATCGAAATCGAGTCCTTATAAGGTTTTAATCGCTTACACAAAGGCCGGTGTGTCCTGAAACTTAGCGGTTAAAGTGGCTTTGATAGGAAGAGTACCAATGGTAGCCACAACCAAGGTCTTTGTCTCTTTGTTTAGTGACATTACAATGGCTGCAGCTAAAGTAGCCATGAATGCAAATACCCTCAACCCCAAGAGTAGTTTCCAGCTCTTTGTGCTACCACCAGCCACCACAATCTTCTCTCTGGCCATTGTTGATGAAATGAGTGATCAAGAGAAAGTGATGAATCTTTGTGTCAGTGTTAAAGAGTATTTATATGGAAAGAGTTTGAGTTTGGTCTTGTTGAGAGGTTTTGACTGATCATCTAACTTTAATGTTCTTGGAGGGTACTGATTAGGTTATGGTTGTTGTGACAATGATTACTGCAAAATAGATTTCCAGATTTCAAGACTTGCTCTAAGACAAGTCTTATCTACCAAAGCTAAGACCAGTTCTTGTGCCATGTAGCATATCTCATCCACAGAAGAGACAGATTTCAAACCCACATCTTAATGTTTGGTTGGTGTATCAGATTATATTAATACACACATAAACAGTGTCACAAGAGGCCAATGGAGTTTTACAACTCTACAAACAGAAGAGAAGGTCAAGTTCCATGGAGCAAAAGAATGCAAGATTATTAGAACAAAAACCTTTGTGTCTTCAACTTTGAATAAACCCCAATATTGCAGTAACAAGAGATTCTGATCAGCCTTTTTCTTAGGTTAAAAAGGAGTCAAGAGATATATAAACATACAGTTTTTCCGCGTATGTAATATGCACAAACCAAACGCAGGAATAGATGAAGAATTTGGATATGATCTTTAAAATCTCACTCATTCTTGGTTACTTTTTATCGGTGGTCACACCAACAACAACATTGGTCACCTGCAATTTGTGTATTTCCGTCACTTTGTCATATATTCCTCTAATGTGTAAGTAAGAAGAAGAACACAGGTGATAGAAATACTAACCAACTTTCCACTTTCATCAACGGACATGGGGTTTTCTACAACAACGGTTTGGGTCTGAGAGGGTGGTGTTGACTGTTGGTAAATGAAAAATCGATTAACAGAGTAAGTACCAATTCCATAAGAATATACAGAACTATTACAAATTCATAATTTGATAACTCACAGTTGAAGTAGAGGGCATTGTCCCGGGACAAGCTGATCCATTTGGCCGGTTAGTTGGGAGAGGTACCCTTCCATTGCTCATCTAAGGATGAAAAAATGAATAAGAAATGAAATTCTAACAGAAGATCTCTATACTTAGCTCAACCATGCAAAAGTGACTTAATAGATAGGAGTACTCACATTAACGTTAGTTACGAATTGACAAACAGCGCATTTAACAGATGATGCACCGTAAGGATACATGAGGGTTGTCCGACAATGTCCACAATTGATCTGCGCAACCTGATTGGAAGGTGCATGGGCAACCTGATTGGAGTGCGCTGTCGATTTCAAAAAAGTCATGCACAGTTTCAGCAAACAAGCAAAATTAACGCTAGAAAAATCCAATAAGTAAGATCAGCAATGTTCTTAAGCAGCCATGGATAAAAGATAATCATGCATCCAAATGGTAAGAGCTTAGAGGCTAATTAAAGGTAAGAATCTAATGGTAGATCAAACGAAACAGTAGTGAACCTTTCTAGCTCTCACAAGTCACAAGTAGTTATGTAGGCCACCGGGACCATCTAAAACCTTTGTTTTAAGTGTTTTCAGCTGCTTTACAAATCCCAGATATTTCAGAATTCAGATTCATATACATCTTTGGGAAAAGTGGAAAGACGTTATGTAAACATCTCCACAGAACAATGCTATGATCAAACAAAAGTGTGAAAGAAGATTCTTAAGAACTAAAAGACCTTTAAAATGATTGATATAGATGTCAAGATAATATTAATATACCTGGCACAAGGTTCGTAGTCTGACAGCAAGAGCATCTTACGCTACTTGCCCCGCGCGTATACATAAGCATTGTTCTACAACCACCACATATAATGTGTGCCATGTCTGTATTCAGAATCAGAACCAACCCAAGTTATAATACAATTGCAGAGAGCATAGGTATCAAAACAAACTTTTGAACCTCATCCTCAATTCTACTAAGTCAACTATACCGTGAGGTGGAGGAGGAGGAGGAACCATGTTGATAGTGTTACATAACGCACAACGCACATTAGATGCTCCTCTAGGATACATCAATAAATTCCTACAACCATGACACACGAGCTGGTCCTGCATATCTGCTATTTTCATCCAAACACAAACAAAATGCTTCAAAACAAGACCCACACAGATGAAACCCTAAAACAATTCTCAATAAGCATTGCAACGAAGTAATTGGAGATTCAAAAAACCTAAAACAACAACTCACCTGATTTCTCCCAGATAAAACAGAAAAGAGCTGATTTTGAACCGAACCCAAATCCAATTCCAAGCCAAAAACTTCTGCATCCAAATCAAAACAAGAATTGTATGTTGAATCAAACAAGAACAATATACTACAAATTCGCGAAATTTGGAAAAAGGAACAAAATTCGGAGCTGGATCTTACCGATTGAAGATGGGGGAGGAATCGAATCCAAAACCAGCGAAATCTAGAGCGATGATATGCAAATTGGGGAAATGGACAATAGATTTCGATTTTCTTCTCTCTCTCTCTCTCTCTATCTCCAAAATCTCTCTATGCCGGATTTATCTCTCTGTTTTTCGTAATTTACGCTTTCTTTTTATTTTTTTACTTGACGCGTTAGGACACGTAGGGCTTTTTTTCCCCGTCAAAAGAACGCGTTTATAAACGGCGATGCAAACGCAGCGATTGGCTTCTGCTAATTGATACTATAAATTTTTAGGCCAAGCTTACGTCCATTGATTGATTAGTTTATTGAAGATATTTTTTTCTTTCTACTGCAAATGTTTAGAAACGACCATACAAACGATATTTATACCTACATATGGCTACGTCATATTTATACTGAATAGCTTTTGTCTTGACATAAAAAAAAAAAAAAACTACGACGAACAATTCTGTCTGCGGTACGTACAAGATGGAGTTTGCCTCTATTAATCTGAATAATTCGATTTATAAAAAAAAAATGAACACTAGATCAAATATAAAAACATCAAATAAATTTTTGGTTACTGTTGTACAAATGGATAATTTCCATAATTTTCCATATTATGATTGGAGTAAAAAGAATCTCAAATATGTCAAAACGTTTCACGTACGAGTGCTGCTTTTTTTTTCATATAGTAGAAGAAGAAGACTAATTTGCTGCAAAAAATACTAGCAATCAAACCTCACATACATACCGGAATGATCAACATTCATTGAGCAAGTTGTATGCTCACGACTTATCGTGGTTGCAAATACACCAAACTGGAGATGAACAATTGGTCTGCAAAGACTGCAATAGTTTTTAAGTGTCTTTTATCCGGTTTTGAACTCTTATCTTTTATTGTCATCGCTTCGTTATGTTGTGTCGTCTACTCATTCTTTTACTTACTGTACTCTAATTTACTCTGTTATTTTTAACTGGTTTGTTTTGTTAAAAAATGATATTTTTTATTGGTATTAAGTCTAGTACGTACAAAGCAACCACATATGTGAACTATTAAAGCTAGCTAATACTTTTATATGTGAATTAGGTTTACGGATTTGTTCTGAAATTAGTGCATTAACATATCAGATAGAATAATTAGTGTTATGTAATGTCCTTAACTATATTTAAATGAGTGACGTGACGCAAAATGTGTGACGCAAAAATGCTTGTGACATTTTGGAATATAGTCAGTAAGTTACAATGATAAGTCGAATAAATCACATACTAATGGCTATATAGCAAGAATCAAGTGGATGATGTATAATTTGGAATATGATTATTTGTGTTTTATACTTGTCGGTTTGAGAATAGGAATACTAAAAATTTAGAAAAAAAAGGAAAGAGATGAATATGAATTCAAGACGATAAGTGATGTACGTACGTTGAATTAGTTTTAGATTCTCGAAGATGACTATACACGAAAAGACCCTGGTCATGATTTCATTGGAGGGAATAAAGCTAATTATTGCAATTCCTAAAACATTATATAAAGAATAGCAAGTAAGGGTTCATAAGTTAAGAAGCAAACACTGAGACCTGAGATCCAAAATATATGTCTTTAAGTCGTAGAGATCCTCTTGTGGTGGGAAGTGTTGTTGGAGATGTTCTTGATCCTTTCACGAGATTGGTCTCTCTTCGGGTCACTTATGGCCAAAGAGAGGTCACTAATGGCTTGGATCTAAGGCCCTCTCAAGTTCTGAACAAACCAACAGTGGATATTGGAGGAGACGACTTCAGAAATTTCTACACCTTGGTTCTTCTCCTTCCTGTTTTCTTCACTGCTTAATTCTTCCTAGCTAACTATTTTGTTTTCTTACTAACGTCCATTGTCGAAGAAACCTTAGATATTCAAATTAAAAACCCAATATAATGTTTTATTTTCATTTTTCTCCATGAAACTATTAATATTTTATCAAATCCAAACTTAAGTGTAAGTAGTTTTTGATAATTCTTTTCTCATAGCCTCATCTACTACACCTGATGTTTTCCCTCCAGTTTATTGAATTGCATAATTGTTATTAGTTTGATTTTACTTTATTAATCAAATTTGAATTTGGATTATATTACGTACGTACATGTTCAAGACGGTTAACTTGAATATTATATTCACTTTTAAATTTGCATAAATATCAAGAAAGTAAATAAATATCTTATTTGACCCTTATCTTAACGACTTTTGAATCTGAATTAATAATAGTCAAGCCAGTATTTCTAGATACTCTTATATTTATGGAAAATGTAACTATTGCCTTTATTCTAATTTAAGCTTCTTCGTCTTTACTTTTCTTTATTGATTGCTTTACTATTTTCATAATCGATATTCTCTTATACGGTTGTTGACGTGCTTAATAAAGGTTATGGTGGATCCAGATGTGCCGAGTCCAAGCAACCCTCACCTCCGAGAATATCTCCATTGGTTTGTATCTTCATTTCATACAACTTATAACTTTAGTGATTTAAATAGATAACCTTAAACTTCTTGTTCGAATATGATAATTCTACTACTACTCGTAATAAATAAATATATTAGAAAAAATTATAGACCGAAAATCCAGAATTCCCACAATTTAAAGAAAAAAATATAGGTACCGTAACCGAATACAAAGAAAAATATACACTTAAAAATTTAAAGATCCAATACATATCTCAAGTGACACACAAAAAACGGTATTTTATATTTTTATTGATAATAGAAGGGGACATATAGAATCAACTAGGTTTGAGCAAATAAACCGAACTGAATGCACCGAACCGAAATCGAAGTAAAAAAATCCGAACCGAACCAAAAATTTGAAAATAACTGAATGGATAGTAATCAAAATACTTGAAAAATAATCAAAATACTTGAAAAATATATAAAAATAGTTAAAATACTCGAAAATAACCGAAATATATCCAAAAATATCCGAACATACTCAAAAATAACCGAAATATCCGAAAATATCCTAAGCAAAATAACCGAATGGATACTAAATTTTAAAACCGAAAGAACCGAATCGAACAGAACCGAAATTTCAAAATATCCGAATGGATATTAAATTTTAGAACCGAATGAACCGAAACCGAATGGACCCAACCGATAACCGAACGGATAGCCGAAATGGATATCTTACGTATACATCCAATTAAATGTTCTTTATATGAATTACAGAGAGACTTTAAACAAGTACCGAACATGACTTTGTGGTGGTCAGAGTTAGTTTCTGTTTTAGAGTGTGTCATGTTATATCATAGCTTGCACGCAACAAAACGTCTATTCTTTATAGTCTGACCATTCTACATGCTTTAGACGAAACTTTCAAAAACTTTGATGCATGCTTTGTTTTCAGTCGCATTTAACTATTTGGTTGCACCATCTTTAACTTATATGGATATACTCTCGTTACAGGTTGGTGACTGATATACCTGCCACAACTGGAACGTCCTTTGGTAAGTTTAATTAACTCTATAGATACACGTTGTCACATATGAAGATAGATAAACTCATACATGCATATATACAATTATTAATCAACAAGCTTAGGCTTTGAATAGAGTTAGCATGGAGCTTTCATAAACAAACATATGTTACTTTATGCTGCAAAACATAAATTTAAGAAGATATATATATATATATATATATATAGATATATATATATATATATATATATTAGTATGTTCCATGTTATCTTAAACCTAAAGAGGTTTATATAGTCTGCTTTATATGTCCGTTGCAACCATCAAAGCTTTAATCTATATAAAATAAGCGACAAAAGCACCTTTTATTGTAGGGCTAATTAGTATGCGTGTTTATGATTATTTATCAGGCAATGAGGTGGTGTGCTACGAGAGTCCACGTCCACCCTCGGGAATTCACCGTATTGTGTTGGTACTGTTTCGGCAACTCGGAAGACAAACGGTTTATGCGCCCGGGTGGCGCCAACAGTTCAACACTCGTGAGTTTGCTGAGATCTACAATCTTGGTCTCCCTGTGGCTGCATCTTTCTTCAATTGCCAGAGGGAGAATGGCTGTGGAGGAAGAAGAACGTAGATGCCTACGTACTTTAACTAATAATCCATTCATATATTGCAATGTTCCCTAATGAGATATTTAAGCATCACACGTCTATGTAATAAGAAAAATAAAGTGATGCATACGCTGACATCGATGTGTGTCTTTATCTAATTAGAGAGGGAAGAAGAAATGTGTGTCTTTATCTAAAAAAAGTAAGAAATGTGTGTACGAGATTAGGTTACGTACGTGGTTTTTAAGAATAAAGGATCAAATATAAATTATGTTGTCAAAATAGGAAATGTCAATAATACACAAAAAAAAAAAAAAATGCCCGCAAGGTGGTGGGCGAGTGGTAGGGCGAGTCCGGCGTTGAGGGTGAAATCCCCGAACCCGGGTTCGATCTTCCTCCCTCGCTGTTATCAACACTTTGTTGGGAAGTCTGGGCTTGGGCTTCAGCCCACGCAGTTTACCTGGTAGTCTGGCAACAGGCGATCCAGCTACCCAGGGCATTAGTCGGAAAGCATTCCAAACTCGGATCAGGCAGTGTGGTAGCTCATCCCTCGGGGTGGTAATGAGTCTACTCTGTAGCACTCCGGTGCATTCCTACCGAGGCTGACCGGATCAGCCGATCGGGTATATCAAAAAAAAAAAAAAATGAATTATTATGAAAGTGATATTTCAGATAAAAAAAAGCTTCTTTGTCTTAAATATTTTGATTTTTGAGAAATTAGATAGCTAAAAAATTAAACAAATTACTTTCTACATAAACAAACATGAAAATTAATCGAGATCCCTATGAATGTATTTATTTAAAATGGAAATGTCAATAATACACATAAAAATCATTCTATATCGAATTCTCGATACATGTATTTGGAGATCTTAATTAGAAAATTGTTCGACCAGAAAAACAAATTAAGGTAAAATTATGAAATGAATATATTAAAATGAGGTTGGTTATAGAAGTAGGATAAGAATAAGAATGAAACATTTAGGAGACTTGATTTTCTAGTAATGTAGTTTAATTTCATGGAAAAAAATAACGAGTCGGGTATTCAGCAAATCGACTAATTTTTATAAAGTATTAAAAAAAATCGACTAATTGTCATCCGGTTATTAATTTTACGGATTTCTCTTTTTTCTTGCAGATTAAATATACACTATTTGTTTAAATACTTGCAAGGGTAGGGTCGGATTAGATAGCGGATATGCCAAAATTTGAGAGTATCCGTCCTAAGTGTAACGGCTAAGTTCCATAGTGCCGTTGCCTTGACGACTAAAAACATTTGTACTCAAGAAAAGAAAAGAATGAGAGGAGAAAATAATGGACACACATTTTTCCCACTCCATTAATCACCTTAACTTTCTCTTACAATGTAATTAAAGTTTTGGTTACCATAAGCACAAGGATTGGAGATTTCTTCGTGCACTCAATTTCAGAGAAGACAATAACCATATGAACATTTTCAAGAAAAAGACAAAGTCCCAAAAGGTAGTACAAGATTGATTTGTCCCCTTGATTTTTTGGATTTTCACATCATGATAGTAAACTGATTTTGTCGCCTATAGACTTTAGATATTTGTGTCTAGGGTTCTGCAAAAAAAAAATCTCACCTTTAATTTGACTTTACTTGTGCCTGAACCTGAGGGTGTGGAGTGAGAAATTTGCTGGATTAATGCTGCAAATTTGTCACCTTTAAAATCACATTTACTTAAATCTAACAGTGTAATGTGAAGAATCTCATAATAGTTGGTTAAGTGAATGTTTGTTCTTGCTTAATTAGTAACTTTACACTGATTCATATTTGTTTCAGTGCTTCATTTTTGGTGAGTGTTCTCTCTCAAGTAATTGAATTTGTGTGTTTCTCTGTACTTGCTTCAGTTCTGTTTTTTTTATTCAACTGAGAACTATTTCTTATGCAGATGCTCTCCGCACCAGCAAGAAAGAAATGTCTGTGGTATATGGGAACAACTTCAATAAGCAGTCCAGAGGATTCAGTCGCTAACTTGTAATACTACTTAGCTTGTTGGTTCATTTCTGGATATTTAAAAACGCCACAACACAAGACTCTTCTCTTCTACATTAACAAGTTTGTTGTGTTTTAAAAAAAAAAAAAAAAAAAAAAAAAAAAGTTTGTTGTGTTTAAAACATTTTCATAAGCGGCTACAAAGATGTTAGCTCGACAACTTGTTCGACTGAGGCAACAGATCACCAATACACAGGCTTTGTATGCAAGTACCTCAATTTCATCTGATCTAAGAATTTTTTTTAGGGGGGGCGATCGATATTTACAAAATGTAAAAAAAATTTCATATAGTTTTTTACCTTATTTAATTATGATATATATAACTAATAATGTCTATAAGAAAAAGTAAAATGAATACAATATTTTTATTAACACTTAAATAGGAAGATTATTTTAAAAACATTAAAATTTGAACGATTAAAGAGTTACATTTAAAAATTTAGAGATTTTGAATTAGCATCTATTTGATTTAAATTTTACAAAAAAAAGAAAAAAAAATTTAAACGACTCTCAGCGTAAACTTAAATTTACCAGAATTTGTATACTAACGTTTTAAATTTATTTTTTTATAGAAAACTCAAATATTTGGAAAAAAACACAGAAAATATTATAGAGAAATCAATTACCATCAGGGGCGGACCCACGTTGGGGAAGAGGGGTGCAGTTGCACCGGTTAAAATATAAAATGTTTTGATTATATATAGCATTTATTGATCTAAAGTGGTCTAGTGATAAAGACCTCATCCTTGAAATATGAGGTGGAGGGTTCAATTCCTCTTTACAACATTTTTTGCACCGGATAAATATTTTGGCTGGGTCCGCCCCTGATTACCATAAATATAAACTACCAAAATTATGGGAAATGACTGAGTATTCTAAATATTAAATTTCGAGTTGATACAAAGGGAAATAAATATTACGGTATATGAATGTTAGATTACGTTGATATTTAAATTTTGGAACTAAATTTGTAAAGAATTAAGCTACATTAAAGGGAATATGTAATATTCAGTTACCTTTTTTTAGTTAACGAGAATTGGTTAATTGGGAAACAAAAGTTTAAAGGGGGCAAGAAAGATTTTTAATGGGGGGCAATTAAATTAATTCCTTAAAATTCTTAAGAAATTTCGAAAATTTAGGGGGGGCAACTGCCCCCATATTAGAAAACATAGATCCGCCCCTGCCTATGGTTGCAATGAACAAGGTAATGATCTCACTTGGTTTCATTTTCTACTTTGATGGGTTTTCTCACTTCTTTGTAACATATTTTGCTCTGTTGTTTTACACTTTCGGCAAATGGCACAGACGAAGCAAGCTAAAGTTATCAAGGAATTCCAGAAGTAGTCTGCACAATTGGACATGACGGTAAACAATATCTCTGTTTATCTTTTAAGAGCATACATCTAACTCTTGTTGCAGCTCGGGATCTACTGAAGTAGAGGAGCTAGAGAGGAAATTGGCTTCACTAAGACGAATCTGAGACATGAAACTATATATTTCTTGCATGAAAAGAAAGCAGCTTCAAATTTTTGTATATAATCTACTGATGTCACAAACTGGATCTCATGTTTTTTTTTTTTTTTTTTTGTGCAAAAGATCTCATTTTTAATTAAGTATATGGTCAACCTTGCAAATAATCTTCAAATCTTGTGCCACTGACTTTAAGGTGTGTCCTTTTGGCTCTGTCTTAGAACTATTTTCTCTAGGGCTTTTTAGCAAAGTAGACACTTTTATAAAAGTAATTTGAGAAATAGGTAGTTTTTTTAGAAATTTGTGAAATAGACACTTTTTATTTCTTTTGTGAGATAGAAATGATGTGTAATAGACTAAAAGACAAGAAAGAATTCAAATACCACTTTACCCCTTGTCTTTTGTGAGTTAGCTTTTAGTGTGGGTTCAAATCTTTTATATTATTGGATCAAATTATATTATATCATTACTTTTTTTTTTCTTAATCTTTTTGGTTTTCGTTTTTTTAAAAGAATCTTAAAAAAAAAGATGACTTGTATATATTCTGTTACCAATTTCGTACACCAGCATTTTAAACATAGTTGTGTACACTAACTTGTACACCAAGTCATTAAGTACATCGATTTGTCTTATATTTATAAATTGAAGTAATTATTGGTCATAATATTAATACAAACACGATTGTAATATAAACCATAGGTTATACTAAATATAATAGTGTACACCATCATGTACACCAATGAATATGATGGTGTATACCATTAAATTGAAATAATGTTTGTACATTTCTACGTAGTGTACACTAACGTTTGTACACTCCTCTGTACACCAATCTCGTACACTATTGTGTAAATATTGTTTTATACATTATCACTTGACAAAAATGGTTTTTTCTTTGTATGTGGTGTACAAGTACAAAATAGGTGGGTGTACGATATTGTAGACTACACACGAGGTGGTATATGGTGCGACATACTATCTCATCGTTTTATGTACACCATATTTTACATCATCTCCGTACACCATCGTATTATGTACGTGTACACCTCTATCAATTGTCGTTTGTACACCACCTTGTATACTGTTTGCATATTGTATACCACTTTTACATTACTAATATACATTAATTTTTATATTATCTCCGTACACTACAATTTGTACACCATTTTTTACTATTGTGTACACCGACGGATTGAGATTAAATGTAAAATATAGCAAAATTGAACTTTTTAGATTCACTTAAAATTTTTAAAGATTAATATGTTTATGTAATAATTTTTTATGAAGAATTTTTAACAAAACAAAACAAAATAAAAGTATTTAAGTTTAAGTTAAAAGAAGAAAGAGAAAAAATAATAGTTTTGTCTTTATCTTGCTACATAACAAAACAACAAAATGATATATAAGTCATTTACTAAAATCTCTATTAGAGAAAAAGTTGTATTAGAGAGAAAAGAGAAAAGTGTCTATTCTTCTAATTTATAAAAAAAACTACCTACTTTGCAAATTATTTGTTAAAAAAGTGTCTACTTTACATTATTTCTCTTTTCTCTATCCTCACAGGTCTACATCAAAAGCTTCAAAGATCAAAATTAAGAAAGAGATTATATATATAATTTTATAGATTTATAGAAGATTAGAGGTCACCATTGGAAGACCAAGTTGGAAGATGATGACACATGAGATTCCTTGTGTCCATCTCATTACTTATCATGTCACTTTGTATATGAGAATCTTTCATTAAACTAAACCTATCTCTAATCAGCGTCTAACTCTATATATAGAAGACATTAAATAAGAAAACAAGATAAATATTGAGCAAAATGGTAAAGCAGATTTTTTTCACAATTGGGATTTGTCTTCTTCCTGGTGCTTCTGCTTCTTCTTCGTTGCAACAGTCTTGTTCTTGCTTCTAAACAAGATTCACTTCCAAGAGCTGGTTAGTGTTACAAAGACTCCCATAGTATACACCCATGTTTAAAAAATCGCTAGGCGCTAGTCGGGCGTTCGAGATGGGCCTAGCGCCTAACAAGAAAATCGGAGATTAAGCGGGGATTAATCGGGGATTAGTTTTAGGGTTATTTTTAATTAATTATTTAAAATAATAAATATATGATATTAAATATATGTATAGTTTTATCCTCTTGATAAAAAGACACCAAATAAAATACAAAACTATAATATAAACAATTTATCAATGGGCCAGAAAAAAATAAATTAAGCCCAATAGGGCTGTGGTCCAACTAGATGGAAGCAATAGTGGAAAGTTTCAATAATACACGTGTCCTGAACAATAATTGTGAAGGAAAGATACACGAGAGACACTTGCAAAAGTCCCACATCGGTAACTAGAGGAAGGAGCTCATGAAAACTCACTTATTTTGTCCCAATGAGCCGAAGTAAAAATTATGGGTCGCTTACGTGAACGTGGGCCAAGAATTAAGGCCCATTTTTTAAAAAGTTTATCGGTTATAAAACCGATTTTATCATTAAGCGGCTGTATAATCGGATACCGCCTAATTTGTCCGATTTGAGTAAAATCGCGGCGGATGACTTCCGCCGAGCGACTTTCCGGCCGCCTAGGCGGCTAGGCGGCCGCGTTTTTGAACAGGGGTATACACTCGCATGATGAATTGAGTGTTAGGGAGGAGAATGAGGAGTTATCAAACAAATGGTGAGATCGATGCAGGCCCATCTTTCAGTGGCAGAGGTGGTGGTCGCATTCCATAAGCTCTCTCTTTCCTCTTCTTGATTATCTCTTCACATTTCAACTTTCCTGTTTTAATTATGCAAATTTATATTCTGCAATTGCCAATCATAGACCTTTTTGTAATTCCCTAGAATTGTTGATGTAATCTTCCCACTGTGGTTTCAAACTAAGTGATTGGTCGTTGAGTACCAAATTCAAATCAAGGAATATATGACATTTGATTCTGAGTTCTTTATAGAAAATGGCACAAAAATAAAAAGAGAAGTAAAAAACTCAAAGAGTTTGAGAATCAAGAGGGAAACAAAAAGAAAGCAAGTAAATGCTCACTATATGAAACTCTCTAAACCCTTATTCGATGATAGCCTGAATAACTCCAGCACCAACAGTCTTTCCTCCTTCTCTGATAGCAAACCTCATCCCTTGTTCACAAGCCACCGGCACAATAAGCTCAACAACTATCTTCACTCGATCACCGGGCATAACCATTTTTGACTCTTCATCTTTGTCGTTCATGATCTTCGTCACTTTACCTGTAACATCAGTCGTCCTCATGTAGAACTGAGGCCTGTAACCTGCAAAGAATGGAGAATGCCTTCCACCTTCTTCTTTCTTCAACACATACACAATTGCTTCAAACTTGGTATGTGGAGTAATCGATCCCGGCTTAGCTAAAACCATACCCCTCTGAATATCAGCCTTTTGAATACCCCTAAGCAACAACCCTACATTGTCACCAGCTAAAGCCTCATCGAGAATCTTCTGAAACATTTCAACCCCAGTGACTGTGTAGCTCCTAGTTTCCCTCAAACCAACTAAATCTACAGTCTCTCCTACCTTAACCGTACCTCTCTCGACACGCCCTGTAGCCACAGTACCACGTCCCGTGATAGAGAACACATCCTCAACAGCTAACAAGAATGGCAATTCAGTTTGTCTCTGAGGGATTGGGATGTAACTATCAACAGCATCCATAAGTTCATAAATCTTATCTACCCATTTGTTATCACCTCTCTTCACATTAGGATTCTCAGTGAGAGTCTCCACAGCTAAAAGAGCAGAGCCAGAGATAATCGGAATATCATCACCGTTAAATTCATACGACGAGAGAAGCTCACGAACCTCAAGCTCAACGAGTTCTAGCAACTCTGCATCATCTACTTGATCCTCTTTGTTAAGAAACACAACCATATCAGGAACACCAACCTGCTTCGCCAAAAGGATATGCTCTTTAGTCTGAGGCATAGGACCATCGGCGCCGGAAACAACGAGGATAGCTCCGTCCATCTGTGCAGCTCCGGTAATCATGTTCTTAACGTAATCAGCGTGACCAGGACAGTCAACGTGAGCGTAGTGACGATTCTCAGTCTCGTACTCCACAGTAGCAGTGTTGATTGTGATACCACGAGCTCTCTCCTCCGGTGCTGCGTCAATCTCGTCGTACTTTTTAGCGACGCTGGAACCAATTGAAGCAAGAGCCATGGTGAGAGCTGCGGTTAAAGTAGTCTTACCATGGTCAACATGACCGATGGTTCCGATGTTGACATGAGGCTTCTTCCTCTCGAACTTTCCACGAGCGGCGCGGACGGTGAAGGAGCGACGAGTGGATTGAGAAGCGGAGGTAGTGGTTAAGGAGTAAGAAGGGAGGAAGGAGGAAGAGAGAGTTAGGGTTTTGAGCTTACCAGAGGTGGAAATGGCGGGACAGAGAGAAGGAGAAGGAGAAGAGTAGGAGCAGAGAAGTCGAGAGGAAGAAGAACAAGCGGCTGGAGCCGAAATCGCCATGGAAGACGGAATTGAAGAGCAGAGGAGAGAAATTGAGAATCTAGGGTTTGAAATTTTTGGAGAAGAAGAAGATTTGGGGATAGAGTGAGATTGTATAGTGTGTGTTATCTCTTTAGAAGAAAAATAAAAAATAAAAATAATAAAAATATGAAGGGCTCATATTTAATCCTATCCATTGCAAGTTCTTTGTCCTCAAGTTTCCACAGCTACAAATCGTGCTGTTTTATATTTCCACATGACAAATCGTGCCGTTTTCATACAGTCATAAACGACATGACAACCCAGAGTCATTACGGAAGCAAGCTAAAATTTGAAGAGATTCTTATGGACTTTGGGAACTAAACGGCAAGTAAGTGAGACTCGAGTTTGGTCTCTGTGAAGAATCTTGTCACCATCTTTTCTTGAATCTTCTTCATTAGAGTAAGCCAAAGCTTCAGCTTCATTAACGACCTGAACATGACATCACAGTAAGATCACTCTCCTTTTACACTAATGTCACTACCATTTTGCATATGTGTATATGAAAAATGAGCTTTGTATTGTTGTACCTGGTTGTAGCATTGTGTTGGACTATCGCTAATGCCGTGGAGGAAATCTAAAAACAAGACCGGATAATATGAATTTCAACCGGCTGTTTTTAAATCGTTCCTGATTACCTCGATTATGGGATGACGATTTTACCTGAATATGCATCATCTTTGAAGATCAGTAAGCTTCGAGGCATCATCAAGACGGAGAATGAGTCTCTCTCAGGCTCATAACTCTCTGCACAGGGACTTTGGTCTTTGGATATGTAACCATCGCCTGATCTTAATCTCAAATGCGGACTGAAGTCCATAACGACAGGTGAGCCAAGAGACAATATAGCTACAACAGGAAAATAAGCAGGTCCATCTTGGTGCGCCTGTGGAAACAACAACCATGGAAGGAACAAACTTGCTCATGAACTTAACACAGCAAAACTAAAACCACTGGAGTAAGAAGCTGCGTTTACAGCAAAAACATAACCACAAAATAAGTAAATAACCAGTCAGAGGACGGATAACGGACCATTATCCCTTGGTTAGGATGGTATTCATTGATGAGGACATGATTTATAGCAGAAGGAAACAGACCCGAGCTTTCACAAATTTTCGCTGTAATCTTTGTCAGCCAGGAAGGTACTGAAACAAAGGGGAAGATATACATTAGAGTATCCAGAATATAGATGATCAAGAATGATTGGAGGACTTCTTTTTTATTCTCACTTACACTCTTGTGGAACAAGACCCTTTTCATGGACCATGCCACCTGAAGAAACAAACCAAAAGCTCAAGACTTTATGGTTCTTCAACAATCTAATGAGAACTAAAGTATGAGCAAAGTGTACCCCAGTTCTGTAATCTTCTGTTCTTTAATGTCTTCCACTTGGAACCAGATGCTCCATATATCTTACAGGACAGCAAAAGAGTGTACATATATGTTTTAAAAGAGGAACAGAACCCCAAGATGTCAAATGCAAAAGAATTGGAGAGGAGAGTTTACATGATTTAGTAGCTGAGTTTGCTCTTCTTCAGTTATGAAACCGGGAATATAGAATACTGTTGGAGTAAAACCTACCCTGAAGCTCTCTAACTCCATGGCTGTCAAAAAATCTAACTTGGGTTTGGATTATAAAAAACCAAATTAGAACACTTCTTATTGAATCAGAACTATGATCGGAGTCTCTTCAGCTAATTTACTCCAACGATTCGCCTTTCTTCTACTTCTTAACCCATTTAATATCTCAAATGTTGAAAAGAGAAAAGATTCAAAATCATGGCAGAAAGGGTAAATGAAACTAACCAGGGATTCAATTAGGAAACAAAGCTATCGATAAACCCCAGAAGAGAAGAGACAGAATCGTTGCTTTCACTTGAGAGAGGAGGAATCTGAAAATACTCGGATCAATGGCGGATGGAGAAGGAAGAATAATTCTTTCTCCCGCTTAATTAAAAAGGTTACATCTCTATTAGGCTTTTATAAGACCCAAAAATCTTCTCTATTGGGCCTTCAAATCATATTTGGTAATTTACAGAGAATCAGATTTGCCTACTCGACTCAATTGTCCCTTGTAAGTTGCAACAGACTGTCTAAACTCTAACGCTTGGAAATGGAACCACTTTTGTTTCAATCTTTTGTCAGCTTCGACAAGTAAAAATTGAAATGTATCATTTTGATAAAATTGGTGTAGATAATGAGATTCTCAATAAGTTCCAAGTGACTATTAGTGCACATGACAATCAGCCTTCTTCCCAATCGATGTCATCGTCATCTTCTTCTTCTTTTTCTTCTGCCTCTTCTGCTTCCACATTCAAATCCACCTTGTAGTTTCCATTTGCTGCAAATTAAGTTACATGAATAGTAACCAAGATGAGCATCACATTATCCTTAGATATCAGGAGACCTAAACTGACCCACTAATATAGTTTTAACTATGAGCACGTCTTAACAAGTATCTTGTTCAAATGCAAACACGCTCAATTCCGGTTTTATACTTCATGTGTTGTTTCATATGATCAACTAGATGGCAAACTGGAAATGAAGTAGTAGTAAACTCAAACTGACCTGTCACAGAAGCTTGTTCTTCCCATTCAACATCTTCTTCTTCTTCCTCTTCGCGTTTGGACTTCATACCAACCTGACGATCTGAGGATGTAGTAGCCGATTCAATGTCAGTGGTTGTTGATTCGCCTGCGGATTCTTGCTGATTCAGTTTTGCAGCAAGCTTTTGCTGCTCCAGTATAGCGGCGTAGTAAGCTTTGAGATACTCATCCTGAATCAAAATGGAAATAATATGCATCAAGATTCTGGAAAAACACAATCCACAAGATGAAGTTTTTCTCCAAAAAGCATGCCTTCAAATCCTTATTATCATCGCCATTTTCCATGACTGATTTCTTGTCATCTGAAAGTCCATCAGCATTTGCTTCCTGTCTCATCTCTCCTCTTTGTTCCTCGGTCAGATTCATGCCTTGCTTGATCATCCATGGAGGCAACATTTTCAGACTAGAATCTCCACCTTTCGATTTGACATCTTCTTTTCCTTCACCAAGGTTAACCTCAACCTAACCATGTAAGATTAAAGAAATCAACTAAGGGAAAAATGCAGGGAACACTTATCTTCCATAATAACATTGTAATTAATATATACATTGAGAAGTGTAATTAAAGATCACCTTTGTCTCTCCCAGAAATGGCATTGGTGTTGAACCATACCCGCCCAGTGACCTTGAAGGATCATTTAAGTTAAGATCACCATTTTCACGAGCAGCCTTAGCTGCACGAACTTCCCATGCCGGAAAAGGTTCAAAGGCAGGGAATGGTAGGTCTTTTACTCTATTTATTAGTTCCATCAGAGGTTTCAGTTCAACCTACATTTTATTTCCAATTGTGTCAACGCACACACTACAGCCACAGTCTTTTTTTTTTTTTGTTTTGCAAATCTCAAGTATTGGACATTTAAGAACGAATCTCCTAGGAAACTAAATCATATATCTTTCTGATTTAATCATGAATTTGGAACGATGCAAAGCTTCAGTGAAGGCAACTCAACTGTGTTTTTCTCAAAGTTTCATTAAAATTAGCCGCTAAACAGTAAACACAGACCTCCAAATCCTGAAGCCAAACTTTTACTTTCTCCCGCTGCCGTCTCCTTGCATTGTCACCTCCATCTACTACTTCTTCGGAAGTTAGTTTGTTACATTCCATAACAAGTTCACCATTGCAATTTTCACAATGAAAAGAATCGTCTTCCATAGAAATTAATCTCAGGGCATCCAGTGCATTATATCTATTCCAGAAATGAGAATCTATTCAGGTTTAGTGAAAATAATACAACTCACCAATGTAAAGATTTAAAAACATAGAGAGTAGTGGACTTTACTTTCTTTTGCAGTTAGGACAGCCATACTCCTGAACAGTATTCCTATCTTCTAGTTCATCTTTGAATTTTTTTTTGAGCCGGTGCAGTTTATAACGAACAATATCATATATCTGTAAGAGATAAGAAGTGATAAAGGGTAGTTTGATAAAAAAAACAGAAAGAAAAAAAAAAAGAAGCATAACAGCAAACTGAAAGAAAAAAATATATATTAGGGACATGAAGCATACCTGTGCATAATCAAGACAGCAATACGAGTGCGTGTGGAACTTAACATTGTCCTCTGCTCGGCCATCAGTTGTACCACCCACTGCATAACTATACATCTTCGCACGCTTTGCAGTCTATTGACAAGATTGAGAATAAAAAATACAGCAGAGTAAGGAAAGAAGTGTTACGGGATTAAAGACAAGCAAACAATCAAACAGAAAAATGTAGAAAACATGGTGAAATAATACAACCACAAGTTTGTTGAGTTATAGGCTTAGCAAAAACAATATTGTGCAATAAGTGCTAATGTGCTATATATCAATCTGAAAGAACATAGTTTCTTCACAGACCTCTTTCCTGTGGTAACGCATGACAAATTTTTGTTCTTCAAAATGTCTTATTAATTTTCGAAGTTCCTTGGTATTCCGCTTCAACTCTTTTGCCAAGTCTTCTTCTCTAACCCATTGCCGCCTAACAGACATAGAACAAAAGAAATAGCAGAAATGAAAGTCAGTGAAAACAGATTTAATAACCAATCTAAGCAATATCAACCTTAAACAGCCCATAATCAAGTTAGTCAACCATTCTCCTAAAACCCCAGGTTACAGTGAGGTGCGAGCCATTTATTCAACAAACCTAATAACGCAGTGGACTTAAAAAATTGTTTGGAAACTATTGTGACAACTTTGGAGCTTATCAACTGAAGAGACACATACAAACCTCGCAAGCGCGTCCAGCACGATAACAGCAGTCCCTCTGACATTTTTTGCAGATTTCTGCTGATTATCGCTTTCCGGAGTATAATTGTCATAGAAAATCCTTACTAAAAGCTTCACCAGCCTGAAAATTAATGCAAATCAACTTAGGAAATGCCAAAACAATTGATAAAGGCACATTCTGAACATATATATGAAGATTTTGGACAAAAAAGTGTGTGATTGGATAGAAATGGTATACAGAAAATTACTTGATAAACGGCTCAAGCACAACAGTTTTCTGCACCACCGTGATTGATTTTTCCATGGAATCAACAAAACCAGATACTTACAATATACCAGTCGAATTTGTGTTGGATACAAACTCTGCAAAACCTGAATTTCAAAGAAAACACACAATCATCATTGATTGATTGACAGATAACAGAGCCAATGGAGATTGATTGACAAACGGAGTATGAAATTAGGGTTTTCTACGTTGAGAGCGAGTATCTCAAAACTCAAAGCAACAATTAGAACCCCGAATAATCTAGGTCAAGTTTCTACGATAACGGAGACGTTAATCAACTACCTACGATATCTAGAGAATCTGTCGGGAGAGGAAAATCGCCGGTTCCTACCGGAGAGTTCGAGAGGTAGCAAGAACGCGGCACAGAGCCAGAACCCCGGAAGACGAAACGGAGTTTTTCGTTTTGGTACAATTGATCTAAAAGTTTAATACATAAATCAAAAATCAAAAGAACTAATTCCAAATTTGGAACATACGCCACGTGTGTGTGTGTGTTTGGGCTTATTGGGCTGAATATTGATGGGCCTAACAAAATGAACCCAGCACCGTTCTCAATTTCTTCTCCCTTCACTTCTATATTTCGTCTCTCGTCGATAAAGCAAAAAATCAAATCAAGCTTCTTCTTCGATCTTCTTCCTCTCGTCTGGTTTCGTGGTTCTGATCCTTGTTGTATTCTTTCTCCAAAGAAGGTTCGTATCGATTCGATTCATAATCGCTTTCGTTCTAAGATTCGAGAAATGGAAATTTTAGTGTGGTGCTTAGGTTGCGGAATCATAGATATTGAAAATCGCACACCCTAATTGTGAGGATTCTCCAGAAGTTGGCCTTTTTCTATTAATCAAGCTCGAATTCTACTTTTGTTGATTCGAGAAATGGAACTCTATTAAGGTTGCAGAAACTAGATATTGGAAATTGCACCGTCTATGAACCCTAGTTTTGAGGAATCGGCCTTGTCTTAGTTATGTTGTGGTCAAGATCATCTTCTGAAAGCACTAAATATTGACGGTTAGGATTACGTTTTCTTCAGATGGCTTTAAAGGAGCAGCTGGATAAATTCAACAAACAGCAAGTGAAATGCCAATCTACGCTATCGAGCATTGCTTCTTCAAGAGAAAGAACAGGGTCTTCGAGGCAGTCTGTGCCTTTGCCTGCGGCAATCAGTCAGAAGAAGCCTGATGCAGCTCCTGTCAAGTTTTCAAACGATACCGAGCGACTTCAGAATATTAACAACATTAGAAAAGCTCCTGTTGGAGCTCAAATCAAGCGTGTCATTGATCTTCTCTTTGAGGTTTGTGTTTGTGTCCCCTCTTTTTTTTGTTCTTCATATGAGAGTTGTAAGTCATCGTTTATATAATGAAGCTGATTTGTCTCTTGTTTTACTTATTTCTTACAGAAAAGGCTAGCCTTAACTCCAGAGCAAATAAATGAATTGTGTTATATTGATATGCATGCCAATAAGGCTGTTTTTGATAGTTTGAGGAAGAATCCGAAAGCGCATTATGATGGAAGAAGGTTCTCTTATAAGGTAACCTAAATATTTTATTCAAGGTGGATTTGTTTCTCTTTGAAAAAAGTTTCACATGTTTACAATTCTGCTCTGCTGTCATAGGCTACACACGATGTCAAGGACAAGAACCAGCTTCTTTCGTTGGTGAGTAAATACCCTGATGGGATTGCGGTGGTTGATCTCAAAGACGCTTACCCGAATGTAATAGAGGATTTGAAGGTATGCATTGTTATAATTGGCTAGACACAAAGATGACAGGTTTGGAAATATAAATCCATACAATTTTGCAGGCTCTGAGTGCTTCAGAGGACATCTGGTTGCTATCAAATTCACAAGAGGACATAGCGTACCCAAATAATTTCAAGTGTGAGATTAAGGTTGATGACGAATTTAAAGCTCTATTCCGTGACATAGACATCCCGAGCGACATGCTGGACGTGGAGAAGGAGCTGCTGAAGATCGGTTTGAAGCCAGCAACAAACACTGCAGAGAGGAGAGCTGCTGCACAGACCCATGGCATATCGAATAAACCGAAGGATAAGAAGAAGAAGAAACAAGAGATCAGCAAGAGAACCAAACTCACCAATGCCCATCTACCCGAGCTTTTCCAGAGCCTTAATGCCAGCAGTTCCCGGAACTGAACCTCATAAATGGATGATCATGCGGTTCAAAACTCAAATTGATCCTGAATTTTCTTGTAATTGTAATTGTTATGATCTTGAGTTTACAAATTACAATGGTTTTCATGTATTCTCACGACATTTGTTAGAAATATAGAATAAACACATTTATGAGTTGGTCTTTGTTCTAGATGTTGCTAGCTAAGCGAAGATCATCTGATAGCGGAATAGAATAATCATAAATAGATGGCTACAAGTTTTAACCGATTTTGAACATTCAGCATTTTTTCTTACAAGCCCTTGAAAACATATCCCTTATGTTCTTTGATCCAGTCTCTACCTTTGCTTGCTTTGTCTGTTTGCCTGGCTTCTTATTCGCTTTCTCCTAACAAATGTAAACAAGTAGTGTTAGTAACCAAGAACATGGAACTTAGAGCTCTTGTCTACAGTTTTTGCATACACACACCTGTAATGAAGTTGAGGATGCCATGTTATTCTCATTTGCAGTAGGAAGATTCTCCATATTGGTTTCTTTCATCGTCGGGTCAACAAATTTGAGTCTGTAAGATAAACCAGACATATGAATGATTTTGTCAGGAGTTATATGATTCGCTTTAGCTGAGTGATTGAAGATTTCAGATTTAAATTTTACAAAGTACCCAAGATGATCATATAGAAGCTTCAACCAAGGCTCAGTCTTCAGGTACTCTCCCACAATTGAAACGGCATCTATCACTGGTGCAGATTAAAGGTGATATAAGTGAAAAGCCATGTTACATCACCTCTTTAAGGGTCAACTTTAAGCAAGTAAAACGATCTCTGCTCTAGGACTTACATGTTTGTTTCTCATCTTGAGCTGCATAGTTTTTGTCCAATTCCGGTAGAGACTTCTTTAAACAGTATACCTGCATTCATTAAAGTGCAGGCACGTTAAGGATCTATACAGAAAGACAAGAATTATAGAATGTAAAACAAAACCAGTTAAAAGTGCAGACAGCATTAAAATTAGCATCTCTCTAGAAGCTGCAAATACATAATTTTCACCAGGCAATATCCAAAAAGACATATAAGTATTAGACATGCCTCATTCCTGAAATTTATGCGGACATAGTGATTCAGACACATGTATCACTTTCAAATGGCGAAGGTATCAAGAAAATTTCAACTAGATCATAGAGAAGGCTGCAATAAATAATCTTCTGACAAGATCATACCTTACAACTTAACCAAGCTAAGACTTTCGAGTTATCAAGCCGATAGAACTTCATAGATCCAACCTCTGCAAGAAGAGAACAAGAGGAATGAGGAAATGGAACAACTAGAGATCACCAAGCTCTTCAAGAGTGATGAGAAACATTCAGATAATATGCATATAAGAAGGATTAAAAAATCTACAAGAAGAAAGACGTGGCAATCTGAAAATTATGTTGTGTTTTCTAAAACCATAGGTAGCAATTTACCTTGAGTTTGACAAACGATTCCCATACATTTCTCTGCAAGTGACAACAAATGTTGATATCCAGGATATCCTTCCACAAATAAAATCTCATCCAGTTGCCTGAACTTTCCTAAATCTTCACCTTTCTACAGATCGACAATTTAAGAACACAATTAACATTTCCGAGAAACGGAAATCAGACTGAAAATAATGAACTGAGAAGCAGCCAAGGAGCATAGTGTGACCTTCATTCTTGCTTCGTCGAAAATAGGCAACAAGATGAAAACAGGATCAACGGGAGTGGCCATATATAAGCTTCCATCTGTAAATAGTAAACCGTCATGAACATAAAGAATATAAAATTTGTATACACATTGATGCTGGCTCACATATTATTATGACTCAAAATCACTCGCAGTTTAGCATTTATGTACAAAGAATAATGATCAAAGATCAAGGTGAGAAATACCTTCAGAAATGTAATCTCCCAAGAACCAAGAACCATATGATTGCTTAAACCACTGAAGTTCTTGAATCATCTCATTATTAAAAAGGAAGCATGTTCCACTTTCTGCCATAGAAGCAAAGATACCAAACCACATAAGATGTTACTAGCTGAAGTTTTCCCTACAACACTACATAGCAAGCCTGTCAATAATCAACATCCCATTACCTGATTTTGGATGGCGGAGTGTTAACAGTTCTCCAGGTTTGTTTCCACCACAACCTGAATCTTTATATATAAAACAAAAAGACGGTCATGTTCTCAAAAGCATCTACGAGACTACGACTTCCAACTAACTATCATAGCCAAGGAAGGATTCAACTTTAAATAGTCATCACCACATCCTTTCAATTCTGATGAGTATGTATATCGAATGAAAAAAACAGTCTAAGTGATCTTACAGGATAAAACCAAAGCTCATTTATTATTCAAATCTAACTTCTCCAACCATTTTTCATAGACATTCCTACACCATTGCAGAATCTAATTTGCAAATCCGTCTCAGAACAGAATCTATAGTAGAAGAGAGAACCTGGGGCTATGAGAACTCGTGTCTTCTCAGTTCCTTCCCACCAAACAGTAGAACTCATCTTCAAAATCTTATCTTCAAAGCTTTAGCAAACCTAAATTACCAACAACAAAATAAAGGGTTAAAGAAGCATAGATCAGCGGACCCAGTACAATGCTAAATAGGTATATCAAACTCATAAAAGACGACACTCTTCCCCAAACCCGAAGTAAACTTTACAAAAGCCCAAAACGAGAGCTAGACGAGAAATAGTGAAAATAGCGAAACCCATAACACCAGTTAGATGATATACCGAGATGACGCCAAGAAGACTAGCACACTAGTGAGGTAAATGAATCAGGACGAAATCTCTGTAAGACATTTCATCGAACAGTTGGTGTGCATTATTCACCCCCAAAAAGATTCGGATCAAATTCTCACCAGATTGGCGCCATAACAGAAGTAGCGCGCGCATTTAATTCTGGGCCCTAGGCCCATAACAACTTCAAAAGAAAATATTTCCAAATAGATCCTTAATTTAACAGAAACTGCCCAGATAAGTCCTATACTAGTATTAGTAAAACATACAGCCCCAAAAAGTTAAGAAGCTTCAATGAAAGTCTCGTCTCACACAATCTTCACAAATACCGGAACATGGCAAACTGAGAGAGTTTGGCCTTCAAGTGGCTACAAAATCAAGTTTCTTAAGACACAAATACTTGGCGTTGTGAATTCTCTGGCTCGGTTATGTCATCGACTCTAGAATGGCTTTGTCAGATGAATGATCACTCTGGAATCAAACCACAAGTAGAAAGAGAACTAGTTTTATAACCATTCAAATAACAGAGAAAAAAGCTACATTAGCATACAGAGAAATCAAACTATGTACCGGAAAAACATCGGTACTTCCCTGGAAATGTTTAAACCATGATAACCCAAAAAAAAAAAAAAAAAAAAAAACAAGATACTGATTAATACTACTACATAAGAATCTAAGAAACACAGCAACAGAGAGTCAATCCCAAGACTCTCTAAATACTACCCATTACAAAAGACAAAGGTAATATATATTCTAATGTTGCTTGTGCTTAGTGTTCTTCTTCTACTTCATAATCTTTAAGAAACAGCATCTCATAAAAAGCCAATCTTCAAACTGTACAAAACCAGAGCCTTCTCTCTCCCTCCACTGGTGAAGAAATCCATGTTAAAAATTCCGGATAAAATAGCTTTTTTTAGAGAGAAGTCATTGTTGATGCAGAGATGTTGTTCATGAGTAGACACGATCACATAAACTGTACACAACACTGACTGGCTTTTTCGCTGCACCTTTCCAGTAAACTCTCTCAAGTTTTCCGTTGGGTAGAGAACGTGGAACGACGGCTTCTTGGCAGCTTTGTTGCAGTACAGTGTCTAGTTCTCCACTAGCTGCTCCAATTAGTCCTGCAATTTTTTGTTCAAGAAAAAGTTCCGTTTTTAAGTATGCGGTACACAAAGAAAGAACCGAGAAATTTTGGTGTTATATTTACCTAGAAACAGAGGAGATGGTTTTCCGGGTCTTGATTTGTACTCGGGATGGAACTGAGCTCCAATGTAAAACGGATGATTAGGCAGTTCAAAGATCTGTATTATCAAATGTAAGGAATTATATAACCAGAAAGATTATAAATTTATGTGGTGTAAGGGGTTTATCTATTGGTTTTTACCTCCATTCGCTGACCCGTCTCGTCTTTTCCTGTGAATGTGAGTCCAGAGCTCTCGAAACGTGGAACCATGTCTGGATTTACCTGCAAGAGAAGATCTTGTTTTTAACTTTAACTGTCAAAGAGATAAATTTGCAGTATAATCTGAAAGCTGCTTAATACCTCATATCTGTGTCGGTGTCTTTCATCTACGAAACCTCTGTTCCCATATCTGAAACATTCAAAAGAAAAAGATATCGGTTAAGCACTAAGATGCATCAAGTTGAAACTTTTTAAAGTGGAAAAAGAATCACGTGCTTACAGTTTTGCTGATTTGGAGTCTTTAGACTGAAAGTAGGTTCTTCTTGAGCCTAACCTCATAGTGCCTCCCATATGCGTTTTCGAGCCCTGCTTCAAACAAAAATTACAAGAAATCCCGAATTAAGTAGATTGGAGTAACTGAAACTCAAGCAGAAAATGTGGAAGGGAACAAACCTCAGGCATGAAAATAACACATGGGTTTTTGGTGTTGGGATCAAGTTCAGTGCTGTTTGCATCTGGCAAACCTAGTACAGTTCTGGCAAACTCGATCACAGCGAGTTGCATCCCTAGACAGATACCGAGGTATGGAACTCTGTTTTCTCTGGCGTATTTCGCTGCCAGCATCTTTCCTTCTACACCTCTATTGCCAAAACCTCCCGGCACAAGAATACCATCAGCACCCTTGAAGGAAAATTACATACCATATCAACGGAAAGTCCATCTCGACACAAGTAATCAGGATTCATTTGATGGGAATGAAAGAATGTTCAGACCTTGAGTAACTTCCAGGCGGCCTTATAGGCATCCGGATTCTGCAGAGAGGAATCACTTTGCCTCAGTTTCTTAGGTTTCATAAGTTGTCTAAGTAATTGAGCTTAGTGTAAAGTGTAAACATACCTCCTTTTTTGCACCTTGCTCAAGATCACTAGCTGAAATCCAATCTATGACAAGTTTCTTGCCCCTTGCCACAGAAGCGTGCAAGAGAGCCTGTTCATCAAACAC